TCACCTTCCAAGAGAATAATTGCTTCTACAGTTTTGAAGAGCAAAACATGTAATGTCCAACCCTCCATCGTTAATGTACCCATCGTTAATATTAATACTATCATGAATATAAAAACATTAGCATGAAACTATTGGCCCACTTACCTATCGATTGTGAATGCCATGGGGTGCGATAACTACGACACCATTCGACGAAGTGGATGAAGTTAACACTTACCGAAATCAAGTAAGTAGACTAAGACCGTAGCGCCTAAATGCTAAGATAAACTTCTAACAGCATTAAGATGAATTTGACAAAAATTGAAATGGCACAAAATAACCTGCCACAATTGTAGCAATTGAAAGAATGATTTTTTATCCAATAGTTTAAAAGTGTAAGAAGAAACACACCTGACATTTTGGCCCAGACAACGGAACCAGCAGTGAACTCGCTCATTAGATTGAGATTTGGGTCTGTACACGATTGCTTTAGATTTCCTTTTTTACCATAACATCGATCAGCCTGAAGTCCAATTTTCTTCCACTTTGCCCGAAGACTACGGTCCCAAACACTAGGTACTTCACTGGGATCATGATTTTGGGCAGTCAGTCGCCACCTTCTGCATATGACACATTCATTCTGTGACCCTTAGTAGAAATTTGAAAATGGATACGTATTGACTTCATTTAAGATAACAGAATAGTCTTTTGGCATGATGCACTTATTGCAAAACGTCACCAAGAAGGCGAGCCGCAGTTTAATTCGAGTAGCGCAATATTAGGCATAAGGCCTGCTGCATCTGCCTCGAAGGCATGAAATCCAAGCTACTAGTCTGAAGATCATAAATAAATGACATCCGTCAGACGAGCACAATCATTGTGTGCACCGCTGAGAGAAATGAGTTGGATTTTCTAACCAGACAACTGTTACCTCAGAATCCCTCCTCAAAAGCCGTAAATTCTGTCATCCCATTTGCTAATCATCAATAGGAGCCAAGCAGACAGTAAAATCGGAAGCGGTAGGCACTTTATTTCGAGTGGAACTAATGTAGGATTAATAAAATCACTATGGGGTTCTACACACACTGGCACGATTTCCCTACCTTAAGACGCCAATTTTGAGACAGGAAGACAGTAGATCAAGCACAGCCACGCTCTATTATAATGTTGTCAACATTCAGAGGTATTTAGGCAGTTACATAGATGTAACCAACTTGAGGATGAGCTTCTAAGCTTCGTGAAAAGGGCGTGGAACTCTAGTGTCTTGCGAGCTTCTCCCTTTTCATATTTACCGCGTTTGAGGACAAAAAAATAATAAACTTACCCATCCTGGAACCAACTGGAGAATGTATTGTAACACGGGCTAGATCCTGAAGGAATTGATTGGACGTTTGACGAATTGAGTCTACATACGGAAAATTTAGCATTGACTACTGAGTTTGAGTTGACCGGTCGAAAGGGATCTTAAGTCGAATGAAAACAAATTGACAGTACCAAAAAGTTTTCCTTTGGCTGGTCATGAAGTGATGGGTTCATCCATTTCATCTAGCACATTGTTAACCAAAACCACTATTTTTATGTCAGCATTAATGAGCCACATAAGTAAAAAAGCAACTTCGAGATCGTGCCATGAAAGTCTCCGCCGACTTTATTGGTCGGACATTTGAAAATTTGTAAAGGCTTGATTCAGGAGTCAAGTCGTCAATTGCACAATGGGCTGGCCCTGGCCATCATGCCTCCGCCAAACGATCGGCAGGCTCACAATCGGCCACTGAGGTGGAGTAAACAGATATCGTTTGAGAGGTTACACTACATAATGATGTCCCAAAGTGACAGTCAAGTTACTGACATTATTTAGGCGTCGTACCAAATTTCAAAATAAAGTAATGACCACATTGGGCACCTAGGAATGCAGTGAAGTATCCGCATCTGAGAAAAGCAATAGAAAAAGAACTACATACAGCATGCATTTGATCATGAAACCCTGGTGATGGTGTCAGGAGCTTCAAGAGAAGCCCATTGCTGAACGTCGACGCCAAAAAATGGACATGCAGTGGATTTTCAGAGACTATTTCCTTCCTAGTCTCGCCAGCGCAAGTATAGTAAGCGGTCCTTGTACGAACTGGCCCCTGGCATTGACTGAGCTAATGCAAATCCCCTATTCTAGGTTTCCCAAATGTCCCTGTCTCATTGTTATCCATGCTTTAGCACACAAGAACCGATAAGGCCAATTCTTTAAACTAATACATTCAATGAAAGAACCCAGTTGGGGTAAAAGCGCTAAACCAGCTTCACAAATATCAAGCCACCTGACGGGATATGATGACGCACGGATGCCTAAAATTGTGGTTTTTAACTCTAATACTCTTGAAATGGACTCAATTTACATTAAATATAGAATAAAAAAGACTGGACACCACTGGTAGCTTGGGCCAAGTGCTAACCACATCCTCAGTCACTTAACAAACTATCGTGCACTATTCACAGACTGTCATTCAAATAAAAAATTTCTCCAATAAGAGCATTTCTTTCTGCTTTTGACAGATCTAGTATAAGACTTCAATTAACTGGCGCCACGAAGCATGAACCACCACAAAACACATACAACGCGGACCATAGAGCCGAAGTGCAGGCAAAACACTCATTTTAGGGAATACTGTGCTGGTGAAGACGATATTGTACTAAAACAATCATAAATATCGTACAAGGAAACACCTTTCAAAGATGCTTGGCGAGTTCTCCACATCTAAGCGTCGTAAACTGCTACTATCGTTTCTTTTCGCCCTCCGAGTCGAATACTTAAAAGCACAGACAAATGTAAGTCATTCAAATAATCAGTAAAATAAGAGGAATCAGCTCTAAATCAGACCAATGACTATCCATTTGTCCTATTAGAAAAACACCGCAAAGATTGAAGAACTGCCATGGCGTAGGAAAATCATTCTTGTAAAGATTCGATTTCCAATTTTACCTTCGAAACCCAAGTGACGATACACCTATATACATTTGCATGCAAAGGAACATCCGATCTGCAGAAAGATTTGGGGGAGCTGCTTTCCTAATCACGGCCAGACCACAAGGACGCAATTCTCCATCGACTTTTGAATCCATCCGATCTCCCTAATCATATCAATGAACCAATGCCCATTAAAAAGTGCAAACTGGATACCACGCACTTACCACGAGTTACAACCGTCGTGACTTGGGCATCTTCAGCCCCTCCACGTTTATAAGTCAAATACTGATGCACGGATTACACATTTGTCAGCCACTTAGGAAACTGAAATTATTACAGCGTAACGCTTCCGACCCATAACATTGAGCCGTGATTCGCTTTGAGAAAAAGGTTGCTTTATACCTTACGCTCAAGTTTTATGTTAGGAAAAAAGAATTCCAATGCACGGAAGATGATGGAGACCAGGATGTAAAGTGTAACGCACCAAACAGATGGTCTCTCAAAGGCGGCTCCACAGCTAACAAACCAGACTTCAGTTGCCCAATAGCCAAATGCACCATGTCAGAGCAAGCGAAGCTTGAATCCAAAAAGTGAAGCCGTCAACCGTGAGAATGCAAGAAGAACCCGTGAACCTAGATTATTTCATCCATGACAAACAGTATCAGAACACAGATCAGACCAACTGGAAGAAATAGCCCATCTCTCTTGACGTATAATGCAAGCAAGCACAACAAAACAACACAACTTACTCGCTTCAGCGAAACCTACGATTGAAGTGACAATGATACGTCAAATCCAAAACAGAAATTCCAATCTTGTTCAACAAAAGTTAAAGCATCTTACAAAATTTATTATGTACAATAGCAAATGCCACCACTGTTCGCAGCACTAATCCCCAGTATCCCCAACAGATTCCATTACGGCACCGCTGTAAGCCATGTCCCAGTAGTGTTCCACATCGCGCTTTCGGAAAAGCTCACGTGCAAAAAGTTCCGTAGGACAGACCTTTACCTGCATATTCTCGAAGGCGCGTTGCTTGACAGTACCCTAGAACCAGTTGTAGCAAATTGTTGACTGATTACCAACTAATAATGGAATATGCATGATAAAATTCTTCATTTGAATTAGAAATCGAGGGGCTGGAGAGCAAAAAACGAGGTAGGCAATGAACCTGCCCGATATAACTAAACCTCAATAATTCGAAGTTGATTTACCTCCCACACAAGCGTACATGGAACGCCAACAGAATTGGAAACTTCTGAGTCGACAACACCGCGTTTGTTTTCCAGCCACTTTATTCGATGCAACATGAGACGCTTGAATCGACGCTGCTGTTTCGGACCGCCCTCAACTATAATCACATTACAGTCGCTGTGCATCGCCACAAGACCAGTCATGAAAAGCTGATTGGCATTCGTCTCCACTTTGAAGCGGTGGGCGGGATTCGTAAGGTCCCGAACTCTGCACGACCAGTATAACAAAAAATCGGATGCAGCGTTGATCTAAAACAATCTTGATTGCCATCCAGGATACCACTTTTATTTTGAACGAACGATTCAAACCAAAAAGAATGACTCCAGTTAGAGCATGAGAGGCGCAAACCGGTTCGCAAGACACCTCGATGAAAGTGTGACAAACTGAAGCGACTCAGATAATGTTAACTTAGACACAGCAAACAACTCCGAATTAAAAATCCAAAATCCGATTTAGCTACCTGTAAACAGCGACATATGTCCGAACAGAGGTATCCTCGCGAATCTTTCGAATGCGTTTGAACCTAGCCTGCTCTTTTGTCAACTTCCTAGAGGCATTTGCAGCTTCGTGAGCCTTCTTCCGAGACTCCATTTGCTTACGAACGTAGGCCTCTACTTTGCTAGGATCCTGTACAGCCTCTGTGCCCAATACTCGCATTAAGTTGGCCAATTTAACCTGTGTAAGAGAAAGACATGTTGCCGTACAATACGCTATAAATTTCAATTAATGAAAACCGACACCACTATTGGATTTTCACTGGAGTAACGATGCGGAACTATCTTAGAGTTGCTTGCGCATGGCTACGAAGCTTATGAAGAAGAACTAATGCCACCTAAATAGTAGGATAATATTTGAAAGAAACAACCTCATTAAAAAACACTGACTGGAATGACCAACCTTAGGCTCCGGTGGCTTTTCAAGACCCAGACGGACTCGCTCCTGGCGCTCCTTTTGTGCTTCTTGTCGATTCTGCCGACGCAGTTTTTTGCGCTCCTTCTTAGTCAACAAAAGCGGGATTTCAGGAGGCTTATTCAGGTCTGTTGGAGCCCTAATTTTGATTGGGTGCTCGATCAAATCGGTGATCCAAGATTCATTAATGAGCCTCCCAACATCACTGTCGCCCGGATCCCCATAGCTAGATAGGTATCGACTGTAAATAGTACACTTACTCCGTTATACCATCTTTCAGGATATATGCGTCCCACCATTCCAAATCAGGAACAGAAGTTTCATCAACATGTCGCTTGGGCTGGATGGTGGCTAGCTTAGCAGCACTCGCGATGCCGGTACGCTTAGCCGCTTGAGCAACAGACTCCTGCAACTTTTCCAGCTGGGCTTTTGTTCGCAGGCGTTGACCAATTTTAATAAACTTCCCAGGCTCATAGAAAGAGAGAGCCCTCTTCGGCCTTGCAGTACCCTTTAGACTAAGTCGAGGGTCAAAGTAACGACTAGCGGCCAACGCTCTCAATGAGTTTTTAGTACTCGCCCCCTCGGAAGCCTCTTTGATGGTTTGAGATTTCTGAGCCCTCACGTTTGCCTAGAATAAGCCCATTAAAATGTTTAATGCCCAACCCGAAGAGTCGGCGTCCGCTGAGGTATTCGTATTTCTTCACCGGTTACAGCATCTATCGTTTTACCATGTTCATCGAATATAAGGTTCCTGAATAAATTCCATTAAACACGTGCCGACGCACACCATACCTCATCTGTTCACGTTCTTTTCTATAAAGACAATAAATAAAAGCAGGACTAGTCAAACCTGACCGGATCTTCCGGTTGCGTTGGGGATGGTTCAGTCCTTTTCACAATGGAATCAAACCTTGAAGCGATCCGAGCCTGAAGTTCAGCAGCTCTTCGAGCCCGCTCTGCGGTTTCCGGATCTGCAATAAGGCCTTGTGGTATCAGTTGAGGTTTGGCCGGAATCCCTTCCTAGTTAATAATAGATTGTTTAAAACCATCTACCAAGCCCAAGGATTGTTTTCTTTCTGCAATTGTTCGCTGAGCGTTCTCCATGAGCTCACGAATTTTTGCACTACTAAGCTCTCCAGGCCTGTAACATGTACTATAATTTGAGCTTATGAACCTACAGAACCGAAGTGCCTGCTGGTCCCGAATTAAAGCCAGACATCGCGACAAAAAGAGAACCGCACTGAGAACGCAAAAGAATCCTAAACCTTACGAACCGCACTGATTTAAACAAGTCGCCACAACACTCCAGGCATGAAGCACATTATGTGAGAAAAAATGGTTGAGCGGAAAAAAGATCAGTGACTTAATTTTGCACAAAATATTTTTTTTACTTTGCGACACACAGTATCTATTTTGCGTGTTATATACCAACGACATCATTTAGTGCTGCTGTAAAATTACCGAAGGCTATATGCTTTATGAAACCCATCATTCTGTTAGCAAGACACAAATCAATTATAACCATGCATTAAGCAGGAGACAAGAATAATGTCACTTAAACAACAAGTACTTAAGTGCATAGCACATTTATTTACATTCGTCTCACGTCCAAGGCCACACAAGTAATTGAAATTTTTTAATTGCTGGATTATCCAACTTAATGTAGGGGAGCGGCAGGAAGCTGGTTAAATGAGTCGTAAAAATGGCATTGTTAACTATTTATTGGCGAACCATGAAATTACCTCGTCTCGACTTTGGGATTAAAGTCAGAGGATCGGATGTGGTGCCAAGATCTTAATTAAATCTTTCGGTTACGAATTTGTTTGAATCATTCCATAATTTGTCTGAGTCCCGATGTCCACGCGTTCCCTTAGAAGGTGCCTTCTATTCCCCTCGGATCTTTGTTTCATTTTTCGCTTTTTCTTTTACGTACACTAGGTATTTGTTCCATCATGCGCAGTTGTAGTGAAGCTGTAGGATGATGCGATTTGTCTTATTTTTCTTGACAAGTGAAGTATTTCTGGTCGCGTAGATGCTCAGGCCATTGAACGGGACATCATCAAATGTTATTCTGTAGATGAGTGGGCTACCCGCAAACAGGTTCTCCACAATTGTTTTTCTCGATACAGAGACCACTGGACTGCCTAGTGATGGTATTCGCCCTCGTATAACAGAACTAGCCTTGGTTGCTGTGAGTCGGTCCGAGATGGTGTTTGGCGATTGTACTCCGCGGGTACTGAACAAACTTGTCTTTTGTTTCAATCCCATGGCCAAGATACCGTCGGCGGCGTCTGCCATATCTGGTAGGTCTTCTTTTACTATCTTTACAACTAGGCTTAAATAACAGGAATCTGTATAACCAGAAAGATTTTGATGACTTGGCCGTTCAGCAGGTGCGACTCTTTTTCCTCCGTCTCCATCCACCTTTATGCGTAGTCGCTCAAAATGGTTACAATTTTGACTTTCCTCTTTTGAACGCAGAGATATTCCGTGTTATGACGCGGTCATATGGGTTCATTGATTGCAAGGGAGAACCCGTGTATTGTACCGATTCCTTGCAGCTATTTAGGCATTTTTCTGACAAAATAACGCCTGTTAGCGATGGTGCTCCTGATGCGACGAAAGCAGTAGTTGGGATCGGGTCTCTTTTGGATAATTTGGGATCAGTGCAACCGAGGGGCCGGTTTTCCCTCGCCTCTGTCTACAAAAGTGTTTTTGGTGCCGTTCACGATGGGGCTCATACAGCTGAGGGGGACTGTATTGCTTTAATGAAGCTCGTGCACTTCATTGGAGAATGTGCTCTCTCTTGGATTGATAGCAACTACCGAGTTCTTTCAAGCGTTAGAAAAATGTACGTTTCTGACGAGGCGGATGGTCTTCCTCTACCAAGTGGCCAGTTTCCTTGTGAAGTTAGTCTTGCTTCATATGTTCGCCTCGACTGAACGTATTTAATTTTCCTGCTTCGTGAATTACTTTATTTGTGTTTTCTCATCTTGCCTTTATCTGTCAATGTCTTCATGTTCCAACTTAATGCGAAATGTCTCAAACCGAGTTTTCCTTGCAGTGTAGTAGTGAATGGGAGGGATGGTTCCCGTGATAGTTTATTTGATACACTGAACCACTTGTTCGTGACGGGAAATAATGAGCGAAAATTTAGTTGAATAACGAGTAAGCGAAGCTGGGAATTAGATAGGGGTCGCGGTCGTAGTTTTGCCCCCCGATTAGACAGTTGAACAGGACCAAGTCTCTCAATGTTGGACTTTCGGGTGGCGAGGTGGGTCCCGGGTCTCATGTAGTTTAAAATGTAGGAGAAAGGCTAAATGTGTACCCATGTGTTGCAGAGAGAAGGTGACTTTAAGGTGTCTAACATGTTAGCGAAGGCTTGGCCCGTTGTATGACGTCGTCCCACACTGCTGCATGGTCTGAAATGGCGCCAACCTTCTGTGGTGAATCTCGCTTGGTGGGTGGTTTAGATTTCGGAAGATTGATTTCTTAACTAAGGATTTTTAACAGCTGTCAGACATCACAGTCAAGTTGGAGAGTATGCCAGCATTAGTGACAAATGTTTCAGCAGTTGCTCATTGTATTGCATGTGTAAGTCATACCATTGCTGCCATCCTACTAAACACCACGCTTTTACGTCGTCCGTCTCATGCTGAAGAAGTGAAGATAGTGGATTCTCTGCTACAGAGCGTGCAAATATGTGCTGGAGCTGCAGCTTTACTTCACCTCCCTCTCTTCATCAGTAAAAAGTCACGAATAATTGTGTTTTCTTGTACATTGTTTTCAATGATGTTTCTTACCATTGAGGCCGTAATTCTCACGTATATGAGGACGAGTTCCCAGCTCCCTATTAAGCTGAATGAAAATCAGCACGAAAAACAGGCACATGAAACCTCGAATGAATATCCGGTGCCTACGAATAATCTGATTTCTGCTTGTTGCATGGTCTGGAGCACTATACATCATTCTGTGATAGATAGAGTGTTCCCTCGGCAGTGGATTCCACTCAAATGCTGTGAGGTGCTTAAATACACTACGAACACGAGCAGCTGCTCAGATGGCACTGAAATCTTGTTGGATTCGGGAAGTGTCCAGTGCCTACAGCATCACAGCGAGGCATTTAAGGAACCAGCTAAGCTATTTCTCATTTTGACCGCGCTATTTTTTCCAACCATTGCTTTATTTGAAACATTCTTTTTCGGAGTACTTGATTTGTACCGAAAATTTAAATGGAATTGACAGCCGAATAGTAGGGGACC